GAATTCCCCAGCCAGCATTCTGGGGAATTCTGGGAGTTGAAGTCCACTCATCTTAACATGGCCAAGTTTGGACAACACTGTTGTAACCGAATTATGATTGGCTTTAAAACAAGTGGCTCATTCACCTGGCTTATTTTAGCACACACACACACACAACGTTACCTGGAATTACATCCTTGTGTGCGCACACCTTTGCATAGATGCTGTAAGAATTAGCCCAAATTGCAACTGATGCTCTCTTCTTGAAGTGGCAAGGGGAAAGAAAACCTGGTAGATGTGGTTGTTCTAAGTATGGTGCTTTTTTTTTTAAGCACCTGGTCGGTGGAAGGGCCCGTGGGATTTAGTTAAAATAAAACCAGACGGCAGAACACCCGTTCAAGATGTGGCTGGGAGGATTTGCCGTGTTGTAGCTCTGCTGAGCTGGTGGGATCCCCCGTCCTATTTGCGGGTCCTCTTCTTCAGCACCGTAGCTGGCTCCAGAGTTACAGCTGCCTCAGCAGGTCTTCCAAGATGCTTTGACGGGTGGGAAGATCCCCCTCATAGGAACCACCTTGATTTTTTTGCAAGGGGGAATACGAACCTGAAATAAAGATGCAGGTGAAGGACAGGGTGCAAGTTATTTATTTCCCTCTTGCACAGAGCAAGGATGAGAGCATTTCTGATACCAGGTCCTACAGCAGTTTGAGGCAGATACAGGAAGGGATTAAATGATGTTTTTGCTCCTCAGTTGCAGCGTTTCCAGACTGGCAGAAATGAGGGTTCGAGGTTTTGGTTTGGGGGTTTCCCCCCAGCTTGCAACCTGCAGCTTGGTTTTGCGATCCGATGCTGTAGGATTGCTGAGAGTGCATCCTACAAAAACAATTGCCCAATTTCTTTTGAGGGACTGGGGGGTGGAAGGGGTTGTGAAGAATTCATCGCGTTTAGTCCCATGTTAGCAGAAATCTGGGGTGTCTCTACATCTGCGCTAAACTTCTCCCAGCGGAGTTCCTCCACCAAACAGACCGAACATGCGGTTGTATTTATATTTCCCCTTGCGCTATGAAGACCGGTCTTCACGCCCGGCTTTTCACCTACGCTTGCCCAGTTCCTGATCACAATGACTAGTAATTAAGGGGTTCAGCCTCATCACACGTTGTCCACTTGTAACCAAAGAGGAGAAAAGAACAAGAACGTCCGTTGTACGATAGGGGTTTCTTTGCACAGGAAAGCTGATGTGCAGAGCAGCCCTTTGCAGAGATCAGACGCTGCCTTGCCAAAACAACCTTTGCTCCAGGTTGCACTCGCACGTGTGCCACCGGTGGGAATTGCAGCGCCCATCGAGTGCAATGAGGGCAGCCAGAGAACACAAGCCTTCAGCGGAACTAGGTCTGGCTTGGCTCTTTTTAGAAAAACAGATCAAGGAAAACACATGTGAAGTTGCCAGGTTTGTAATGAGAAAATGGGATAATCTAAGGCAGTGTTTCTCAGCCTTGGCGACTTTAAGACGGGTGGACTCCAACTCCCAGAATTCTGGAGCTGTGCTGGCTGGCTGGGGAATTCTGGGAGTTGGAGTCCACCCGTCTTAAAGTCGCTAAGGTTGAGAAACACTGACCTAGGGTAGTGTTTAATTTCACTAGCAATAACTCTGCCAGTCTATAGACTTCAGATTTTGCAAAATGCGCTCTCTTAAAAAATAGCGCTAGTAATCCAGACTGGCGTTGGGGCCAGCGGGTTAGAAGCAAAACTACCTTGATGTTCTTTATGTTATTATTTAAAGCCTCCACTTGTTTATCTGCTCTTACTGTGAATTTAAGCCAGGTGTCCTGATTCAAAACTGTTAATCCTTTGACACATATGGACTGTTGATTTTTGGAACAATCTTTGAGGTTTGCAAAAAAGAGAGAGAGAGAGGAGAAGAATGAAAACACGCTAAAAGAAAGAAAGAAATCTCTTACCTAGTTTTTGCATTCAAACGTTGTTTGATCAACTTTGCCTTTCTGATTGTTGTATTGAATAAAACCACGTCGTCGTCTTTTTGTATAACAAAGACAGAACCATTTTTTTAAATGGTTGCTTCAACTTGGGGCACATTTCGGCCTCCTCACCCATCTTTGGATTCTAAAGACGAGAAGGCTATGTTGCCTTCCAAGTTTTTTTGATAATGTAAATAAATATAGAGACATATATGTGTGCGTGTGTGTAAGTTTGTACATATATAAATATATATATATATAAATACATCATGTGTGTATCGATCTGTCTTAATCTCCCTCTGAGTGTGAAGAGTTTTTGTTCAAGGAAAAATTTAAAAATGGAGAAAGTCCCCCTTTAAAAATTTTAAAGCTGTGGCAGCCTTTTTATTGATAAAAATCAGAATAAGGCTTTATGTAACTGGCCCAAATCTCCACTATACATAAGCGAGTGGATGGCCCGCTTGGAGAAGATACTGTGAATGAAATGCATCTTCAGGGAGCGATAACATATTTTAATTCTCGGTAGAAGGAAAGAGATGGCAAGAACGGGAAGATCGTGGTTCTATCCAGACCTGAGGTTGTGCCTAGGCGGTGAATGCGCGTGCATAGATCGGGGTGGGGGGAGAGATTCCTATGCAGCTCCTAATAGGAGAATTTATCCCCCCGCTCTGTTCTGCTTTCCCCACAACTATCCTCCCGAAACTGATTTTCAGCAGGGGTGGGGGGAAACAGTAGGGACAGACCCAGGGCCAGCCCACACAGCCATGCCAGGGAAAATGCCAGGGCATGAGTGTGGGAGGGCCTGCTGGGTCAAACACAGTCCCCTCCTGACTGAGCACCCCTCGAAGCAGCTGCGAGCCACACAAATGCACCACGAGAAGACCCAGAAGTAACAAAGGTGATATATGAAGAGAATAAGGATGTATGACATGCCCTATTTTACTGTAATTTTTTAATAGGGATTTATGAGGCATATTAATGAGGCCCCTCATAAAGGAACTCCCAGGTAAAAATGGAGATTGGTGTATTTTTTGCTCTCAAGGTTTGCTCTGGTCCACGCAAGAGTGGGTCTCTATTCCAGGGTTTCTCAACCTTGGCAACTTGAAGATGGGTGGACTTCAACTCCCAGAATTTCCCCGCCCACCAAGCTGTGTGGGGGATTTTTGGGGGTTTAATTCCACCCCCCTTTAATTTTCCAAAATTAGAAAAAACAGCAATAAGAAGAA